TATATAAAACTATATTAAAAACTTATATATATATATTCTATATATATATATATATATATATATATATATACATATTTTCATAGAAAATAAAAGATTGCCGATTAGATGCTCCACTTCCACTTCTTGATTGTGCTTTAATCTCTCTTCTTTCTTTAGAAAATCTTTCTCTTAATCTGATCCATCGATTTTGACTCATTAGCTATATCGAGAAATATGTAATATCAAACATTAATTGAAAAAAATTGAAAAAACTTGAAATAATAAAAATGATTCAAAAATTTTATTTACATGACCATGCCATGATTTTTGCTATTTTTTCCCATGAATTCTCTTTTATTAAAGAATCTTTAAAATTGGGCGATGATTTATAAAATACAAATGAGGGTATCCTCTAAATCAATTAACAAAGCATTCCCTGTGTTTGAAGCTAGAACATTTTCATCAACATTTTCATTAGTCATATTTGTTACATCCTGAATGAAAGAGAATACATTGTATGAATCATACACGTATGATCATCTTCCATTCTTTTATTTGTAGGTGCTGAAAAAATTAGTTTGATAATAATAAATTTAATTAGTTACCAAGTTACATAAGTTTTATAATAAAATGTAATTATTATTACTATGTAATTACACAAGATATATGTTCACACACAAATAACTTCACATTTGCGTGAATATCAAGTAACAATTTCTAAAGTAGCTTAACAATTAAAAAAAAAACGTAGCTCTTTAATAAAAATCAGGCTTTTAAATAGGGAACTCATCCAACTACACGGCCGGCTACAGGGAATCTTAATTCAAATACTTTCCTCTTGAAAGTTATATGTATACATATCAAAGAAGATATACAGATAAGCATAGATTCGATACACTATAGATATACCATCAACTTCTAGTTCGTGCTCAATATCTATATACGAATTATCCGCACGTAACGTTACGTAGAAATTTCAATCGCCTTGAAACTCGCCTTATAGATAAGTTTATTGCTATTTCTATTTCCGTTAGATTACGTAGACCTAAAGCAATATCCTGATTGGCTTATCGGCTTAAGTTTACGTCTTACTGTTATTGTTACGAAATTTTGTGTGCGCGGCAGCCCTAATATCTGAATTGAAAATTCTCTCAACAAACATTATAGTTGTACGATGCAGAAAAAAAAAAAGGCTAAATGCTTTAGTCGATGTTCAAAACAATGGTTGCTTCATTATTTATTTCTGATTGGCACTTGCTTATAGTTGATTCTAAACGAAAACGTTTTATTTCATCTCTATTAAGCGAGAATATCTACATGGGATGTCACAATTTATATTCGTAATATTTTTCTTGTTTTTCTACAGTAAATAGAATTGTATAAGTTAATTTGATTTTGCGCATTGATATCGGGGCTCTTTCTTCGCGATTATCATCGCGTCGCGCCGCGGGTTATTGACTGACATACTCGCGAGTGTCGCGAATGAGTCAGAGCGGTCGTGTCTGGTTTCAGATTGTTTAGAGCGTCGCGATCGATGCCGGATAGGCTGTGGATCGATCGAACGCGATGTTTAAAAAAAAAAAAAGGCGTAATCGATTCGTTATTGCCGTTTGCGCGCAACTGTGTGTGCGGCCAATACAATTCCGCTAATTGCGCTTTATCGATACCAGTATATACCGCGCGCTTTGACAGTCCATTCGTGCGGCGCGATCTAAAAGACGAATTCGAGCTGCGGCTCGACCGCATCGTGGTTGAATTTTAACTCCCGCGACTTCGTTCAGAATGACCGTTTAACTTGCGTTTCGTGGTATTACGCTAGTCGCGATAGTTGGGCACGCATTGGAAATTCGAGTTCGATCGTGGTTGATTTCCCGCTTTGTTACATGTGAATTAGCAGGGAAATCTTCGTCTAGCGGAGATGAATTCGTCAAGATAATAATGCGCGATTAATCATATTTAATGCCTAGAAAAAGAAACTGTTCGCTATTCGTAATATTAACGAGGGACATCGAATTATAGATATCTGGGTATCAATTCTATCGTATTGTCTCAGGATATTTTATTTGTTAACGTTATATTTACATGTACATCATATTTCTTTCTCACTCTCTTCCTCTTCTCTCCCTAATGTGAAATTTATTAACGCTAATAATTAATATTGAGATAAAGATTCAGAAAATATAAAATGTATGATTATTCATTTTATATTAAAAATTTTTTGTATTTTTATTATAGTATTAATTATTCACGTTAATATATTTCGCGTTAAGAAAAAGATAGAAAGGGAAATATAATTTATATACAAATATAATATTAAAATAAATTTTTCTGAGATAATTTAGGTTGAAAAATGATAGGTATTTTTAGATGCAGCTTTTATTCTTCTTGTACTTGATGTATGTCTGCGATTGTGAATTCGGTACAAACGCATAGCTTGACGAACCTTTCGCTTATACACAGAGGGTCTCGTACGCATGCTGGTACGCATTCGGATAGGTCGTGGTCGGCAGAACAGTGAACGCTTTGTTTCAGGAGTGCTCTAAGCATAATCATCATGTCTACTTTTCTGTGTCATGCATTCCGTACAAATTTTCCTGCACACGATAAATACTCTTTAAATTTTTTTGAGTGGAATTTCACTCTAAAGAGTGAAAATTAAGCAAGTCTTGAAAAAGAACGGCTCAATCTTACTAAGATTTTACTCTTTGGAGTGACAATTTACTTTAAAAGTTTCAGAGAGTATGCGCGATCCGAATTTTTTTAGGCAACAAAACGATAAAATTTCCTTTATTTATTAAAAAAATAAAGTTTTTTTGGCTATTATATTTACTTTGAGCAATACTTTACCAATATTTGCTATCTTCTAGAAGATATTATAATGAGAGATGTTTTTTATTTTTATGTCAACGCCCAAATATATTCACTTGCATTTTAGGTGAATGATTTGTGAACTTCTCGCAATGACAGCTTAGAATTGAATAAAATCTGGAATGTTGAATACATAGTAGGTGTAATAAGGTGGTGTAGGTAGCATTTAAACGGGGAAAATATTAAGTCAATTAGTATACGTGGCTTTCAAACGTAAAGTGTTTACTCAGACGTGGTAAAGAAAACCGCAAGTGTTTAATGTCATTAGGAACGTGTGTAGATGTTAATGTTGGATGTCTTCAGTATTAATTGCCAAAGAAATATATACATATGTATATACGTTCCTACACAATTTAAATACACATTTTAAATACACAATTGATTACCTCTTATTAACATTTCCTTCTATATTGAATGTGCCCATTGTACAAGAAAATGTGGAGAGTAATCTTATCCTTAATAAGAGATCTATATAAAATAAATATAATAATATAATTCAATTACTTTTTATTCGATAAATAGATATACTTTTTTTTCATGGATGGAAAGGAAAATACAATCTTAAATTTTTCAATATTTTGCAAAGACACACGGAAAGAACAGTTTTGCTGAAGTACCGTAGCTAGATGCAGATCTGTAGATAATTTTGTTGAACCGTCAAAATAATTATGTCAGACGCTCAAATTGATTACTATAGTTTAAAAATTTTTTTGCTGCACATTACTCGTCATACTTAAGATTCTTACGTAATTATTTTGAATAAATAAATACAAAATCGAATTTGTTTCGACAATTATTTTTCTTTTTTTATTTTCTGGTTTAAAATTATTTTCAGATCAGTATGTGGCTAAATTTGTAGGTACTTCAGCAAAATTGTTCTTTCCGTGTAAAAATAGAAGTAGGCAGAAATTATACTTGCAGCAAAACATTTATTCTCATAACGTATACATAATTTTTTTTTAATTGAATACTTCACGAGAGATAGTATCGTTATAATGATATGTCATCGACGGTTGCGTCTCGTGAATCAGCCTGTAGCGATGCACATAGCGTAATTATTGAAACTCGCCGCGTACAGCGACGGAAAAGAAAGGGAATTCGAGGGAAAAGTATACATATATATATATATACATATGTATATATAGCAGACGTGCAAGATAGAGAGAAAGGCGACGAGAATGAGGCGCGGCCGTATTTTCGGGTGACCGTGGCCCTGCCCTCGGTTTCGAGGTATCGTTTATGTGCCACTCGGTGCATTCTACTACCATTGCCAAGTGTATGCATCTGTATGTGTGTGTGTGTGTGTGTGTGTGTGTACGATGCATCGAATACATTTATATTTGGCTAGAGGGCGGAGCGGGTTTGACGTTGTGATGATTCTAGTGCATGCACTCGTCCGTGCGTGTGTATGATGTGCGCGCGCGCGCACACGCACGAACGCACGCATACGCGTTAATGTACGTGTAGAGAGGGTCAGTGGTTCCGGCGGTTTTATTATTCGGCACTGCGCGCCGAGTTAACCCAGGTCAGTGTGTGGTAAAAAAAGCCATACGTTCGGCGAGGCTGCCACACGAACATCCGTGCGACGAAGCGGGAAGAAACGCGAAGAGAAAGGAGGGAAGAAGCGAGCGGGAACGGAAGGAGGAAAGGGGGCAGACGCAAATGTGCACGACGCGCTACACGAACGCGTACACGCCACGCACACACGTTGAAAATGCATTCGTGATACGGGACGACCGTCGAACGCCGTGTTCGTTGCCAAACCAGGCTGCGCCTGTTCGTCGCGGTTCGCTCACTCTCGAACGCGAGCGAGTTTTGCGCGCAACGCGAATATTTTCAATATTCTTTTCGCTCTTTTCGCGACGGCGAGGAATAGGCCGTAAATACAGAATACACCATGCGAGAAATCGATTAATTTTATCCGCCAGCAATAAAAGGAGTTTTATCATCAAGCGTGACGTAGAGAGACGGAAAGAGAATCGGATTTGTAAAAAAATATTTTGATTTTTATTTCACTATGTAGAATGTAAAATGCATATGTTGTTTTAAGATGAAATAAAAAAGATAATGTATATTGTATTCCCTGACACAAGTCAATAGATAGCAACCAATATCATGTATCCGTGATGATGACAATTTTGTTGGAGTTCTCTATTAGTAGAGAAGACTGCTGTGTGATGGGGGAGAAAGAGAGAGAGAGAGAGAGAGAGAGAGAGAGAGAGAGTCACAATGCCTTCATACGTAAGCGACGTTGAGACAGAAATGGACCTTAAATGTATATCGTGATATCCCTAGAATTATCGGGTGATAAATAACTCGTGAGATAATGCCTTAATCCGAGATCTGACGAATCCATTTAGCTAATTAGACGAGTGCAACGAAATCCTTTATCCATCATATTTCATTTTTCATTATTATTACTATAACTGTTCTCTTTTACATTTGCGTGCTTCCATATTTGGATTCTCTCTCTCTCGCGCCACGCGCGTTCGCGTATATACTCGTATACGTACGTGTGTTCGTCGAAAGAGCCGCGTGAGACTGGCGTATTGTTAGTACTCAAAATTAGAGCAACTGATATCTGTCCTGGAAACACTGAAGCCTGTGTGCAGCATGTCGCTTCATACAAAAAAGCCACGGACATAAACTCGATAGTTGAAAATGCCGAACGAATATTCCGGTAAGCGACAAGCGTTGTATTTTCGCTTCGACGATAAACGTATATAGCGAGTAGCATAATTAAAAGCGTATACCTCGGAGATATATAATATTTTTGCAGTTTATCCGACTGTATACGATAATGATGCCTTTTCTTTTCTTTTTTTTATATATAATTTCATGCAAATAGAGCTATTACGACGCAACGCTCTTATCACCGTAAAAGTTTTAAGAAACTAAATCGTCCGTTACGTTTTGTTGGTCTCGTTCGACTAATTATGTCTATGCACGCATAGAACGAGAGAAATGTACAACTTGGCGCTGATAACGAATATTCGATCCTAAGTAAGTACAAGTGTAGATCGTATCGAGACTGCAAAATTCAAAGTGACGAAAAATGAATGAAATCGTATATTAAAATTTAATGTACCGATTATCAGTTTCAATTCGATAACTATAATAAGTAATTATAAAAATTGAACGAACGTTTTAAAATAATTTCGAAGAAATTTACTAGCGGTTGCTACAATTAAATAATATATATCTCTTTGTGTTAAAATTCTTGTAACAGTAACTCATTATTTATTTCACCATAGTACGCAGTGGACGTACGTAACGTAATTAGAATTAAGCCGACGTGCGTACAGGTGTACGGTATTCTTCTCGGTTCCCATCGAATTACCGCTCAGTGCCCTTGAGACAAAGGCGGGTGCGTGAATTTTAGAGCGCGGCTCGGCCGCGGAGCCGCGCGTCGCGCGCGATGAAATCACCATTGCAAAAATCGATTTTCCGTATCCGTAAATACTACTGCGTCGCGTGATGCAGCGTTCGGGTGACGGGAGTGACAAAGAGGGGCCCGTAAAGGCGCGTCGGAAGGAAGGGAGAAAGTAATATGGAGGGATACACGGCGGGGCCCGAGCTCGAAGAGAGAGAGAGAGAGAGATAGGAGGGTAGAGAGTTCGCTCGGTGGTAGAGAGAGTTTCGCCAGTTAGCCGGGTTTAAAACAGCTGCCGAATTTCCCTCTCGGTCGAGAGAGAGTGAGAGTGACCCATCGAGAGCGAGTGTGTTCCACATCGCGTTTCGCCGTTCCTCCTCCTCCTCCTCCTCCTCCTGCTCCTCCTCCTCTCCACCCTATCCTCTCCCTTCGTCCCTTCCCCGGGACACAAGTCGGCACAGCCGGCGGCACATGCACGTGCACGTGCACATGCACACGCACAAACAGCGTTGCGGAGTGCAGACTGCCATGCCGGGCCATTTGCGCGCATCCATGCGCGCCTCCTACGTGTATACGTCTATATAGATATCAGCGGGTCAACGTGGAAAGCGCCCGCACCCACACACACGTACATATTCGTCGCATATACGTATGCACATGTATTCCACAGAGAGAGAGAGAGAGAGAGAGAGAGAGAGAG